AAATTGGTGTGTGTGTGTGTGTGTGTGTGTGTGTGTGTGTGTGTGACCATGCATGGCATCCAGTACATGTGGAGTAAAAGACACCTTGTGGAAGATGGTGGTCTCCTTCTAGTATGTAAATTCTGGGCATCAAACTTAAATTTTCAGCTTAGTATTGGGAGTACATTTATTCACTGAACCATCTTTGAGCCACTATAATGGGCTTTTAGTATTGCAAACATGAACACTTTTCTGGTTTAAGATATGGACAGTTTTTATTGAACTCCTGATTGTGATACAATCTGGTAGTAGAACCAGAACAATTCTATTTCTCTAATCTGCCTCAGTTTCCTCAGACATATAATAAGACTAGTAAAATATACCTCTATAGACCTCTAAAGGCCTTAGTAATGATTTATGATTGGTCAGTAATTATATTTAGTGGATACATGGCTATATTATTTTTCAGTTGCCTGCATCCACTTAGTATCTAAGAGCAAGTTGCATGGGCAAGTCTGAATTCTGAAGGATAATCAATAATAGGAGGAAATTGCTAATGAATCTGCCATATAGCCCATTAGTTGTTTTACTGATCTAACAGTTTAGAAATAATATGATTAATAATACCTTTCCAGTTTCAAGATACTTAATGAAATAAGAAATACCCATCCTCAAATATCAACTAAAAACATTTGAGCTCTCATCACATAGGTTTATTGCCAGACACTAATGAGTATACACCTCACCGCAAACACATACACACATGTATTATATCACTTTATAAATTTAAACAAAATTTCTGTATTAGAGTGTCATTGTGCTTAACATTATTTCACTGTATAAAATTGGGGACAAATTCTAAATTAGAGGAGTAGTATGTTTATTTGGAAAGTTATATAACTCTAAAATTTCATTCCTACTTACCACTTTTATTTCTGACTGTATCACAAACATGTTGTGTAAGAACAATTATAACATAAAAAAGATCAAAAGAAGAAATCATCCATGAATTTGTACAGCATAAATTTATGCATTTTCACACGTTTCTTTCTATCATTAAATATTATGTGCTCAGGAACAATGACAAGAGCCATGGAATAACAACAGATTCTAGTTCATTAAAATTCTGTTCTTCTATCTACACTGGAGAGTAGCACACAAAGAACCTGATCAACAAATCCAAATTCTGCCAAATTAGAACACAAAAATTCAAATGGAATTAGCACTCAATGAATATAACAAATTCACAGGCTTGTATTTAGAACTCTGTAGCATAGAAAATTCAGGGAGAAAGGCTTTTAAGATCTATGTATGCAACATGTAATTTTTCAGATGCTTCTAATTTGTTTGGTAAAATCCTTGCAATTAAAGTTAATATACCTGTTTCCAAACTCCATTTGAATCACATTATAAATCATGCATTGTGTTATCACAAAAAAAGGAAAATTTCTCCCTAGCTTTGGAGGATACTGTGCAAAATATTTCTGATGGCAGAACATTCTTAAGTCTAGAAGATTGAGACAGGGTGCACAAGTTCTTTGTAGGGAAGTCATGAAGGTATTATAAGTGAGATTATTTGTTAGCAAAATGGGACTCAGCAGAGGCGAAGGGAGGAGAAGAGAGAGCAATGGGCAATGCATTGAAGACATATGCTAAATTGTCAAACTATGTCATTATAAATAACCAGCCAAGATAAATGAAGGCATTTTATTCTTGATTTTAAACTACAGAAAACTAAGGAAATATGACAAATAAATTATATGTGTCATCTTTTCTCAGATACTAGTCTAAAAGTGAAATGTGTGGATGTCAGTGAGGAGTCCTAGGAAATCTATGGGGCCTTGGGTAGTATTTATTTCTAGTGTACAAATAGACTTTGAGTGCCCATCCCACAATGAGGGATGCTCTCTCGGCATAGACTCTTGAAGGAGGGCCTAGACCCTACCCTGCATGAAATGACAGACTCTGGAGATCCATCATGGAGAGCCTCACCTTCCCTGGGGATTGGAGTGGAGATTGGGTGGGCCTGGTGGGGAGGGATGCGGAGGAGGGGAGGGAGAAGGAGCTGGGATTGACATGTGAATCAAGTTTGTTTCTAACTTAAATAAAAACAAGGGAAGACAAAAATAATTGAAAACAAAAAGGGAAATGCAAAGTACAAAAACAATCAAAAAAGCAAACAAAAACCTTTAGAGTCAGGTATGTTGGTGAAAGTCTAGAAACCCAATTACTCTGGAAGCCAAATCAATAGTATTGTAAGTTATAGGTGAATCTAGGAAATTTAAAAACACTCTGCCACAAAACGCAGTTGAAAAATAAAACAATTATAAAGCAATTGTCTAACATGGCTGAGACTCTGGAGTCCAGTCCACACAAGTATATTCATGCACGCATACAGATATACGTCTTTGAAACACCCATGGAAACTAAAATCCATGAGCAGCTGTTGTGGAATATTATTTTAATTGGGCAAAGATGTGCTACATTTGTTCCTGCCTCATTTAATTGTGAAAAGCTGTGTTGTATTTGTTTCACCAGGTCCTGCCTAAGCCACATGATTGGTCTATAAAAAATCTGAACTGCCAATACTGATGTAGGATAAGAATAGGCAGGGCTTCAGGGCAGACAGAGTAAATAGGAGGAAAAAATCTCAGTCAGACAGACTCAGGGACAGCAAAGAAGAAAGAAACAGTAAAAAGCCCTGAGGCAAAAGGTAGATAAGGAGAAATAGGAGAATTTAAGTTGTAAGAGGTAGCCAGAAACATACCTACATTAGGCCAGGCATTCAAAAAAATCTGTGTCATAATTTGGGAACTGTTTGATGGACCAAAACAAAATGCCTCAGAGAGATACCCACTCAGAGACACAAACCAAGACACAGACATAAACAGATGCACATAATTAATAAAAACTAATCTTTAACAGTATGGTAAGGCAGTTTTAAACTATTATTGGTTTCTCATATATAGAGAGAGATAAGACGTTTTACATTAAAAATGATATATATATACATTTATATTTAGGATTATACAGATAATAATATGTATTCTCACATAAGCAACCACTCTTTTTTCTTCTTTTATTATTATTTTTTCACTTTACATACTAACATCAGTTCCCACTCCCCCCACTTATCTGTTCCTCCACGTCCCCCATTCCAGGCCCTTATCAGTCTTCAAAAGGGGTAAGGCCTCCCTTGGGGAGTAAACCAATTTTGGTATACAAAGTTAAGGAAGGACCTAGTCCCTCCCCACTGCAACTAGGCTGAGAAAGTTATCCCACCATAGGGAGTGGGCACCAAAATGCCAGTTCATGCACCCAGGATAAGTCCTGGTGGACTGCCAGTCCCTCCAACAGATCAAGCCACATAACTGTCAGCTACATTCAGAAGGCTTAGGTCCACCCCATGTAGGATCTTCAGATGTCAGTCCAGAGTCCTTGAGCTCTCCCATCAGCTCTGGCCAGCTGTCTCTGTGGTTTCACCATCATGATCTTGACTCCCCCTCTCCTTGCTCATATGATCCCTCCTCCCTCTCTTCAACTATGCTCCAGGAGCTTAGCCCAGTGCTTGGCTGTGGGTCACTGAAATATAAAAGCATACTCTTGTTCTGTTTTAGTTTTATCAGTCTTCCATGTCAAACTACAATATCTTTGTTGGCTTTTAAATTGATATGAATTAATTATTACATCATTGCAGAGCCCAGTAATTCCAAATTCAGGGTCAGACTCCATGAGGAGGCTGTAATGAAGAAAGCCTCAGACCACTGTCTACTCAACTAGTAATTTCTGGCCATCCAAGAACTTCCTTGTTTTGTAATAGTTGTGATCTCTCTGTCATGTGGCCAACCTTCTTTTCTCTGTGTATTTATGTGCCTGGTCTCTTCTTCAGACAGTGGTGAGTAGAATTAGAATTCATTCTGTTCTACCATAACTTCCACTTAATGACTGACATCAGCAATAAATGTGTTTCCAATAAGCTAATATTTTTAGCTTCAAAATAGAGATGAATTTGAAGAATCACTATTCATTTCATACAGCGTACAACCCTACATTCCAAGGTAAAGTTCTTTCACATTTGCCAAAAATCCACTGGCTTATCTTTCTTCTGTTTCCCCCCAAGATACTTAGTACTAGCTTGACAAATAAAGCCTTCCAAAATGCTTAAGTCAGACATTTGGATTCAAGTTTTGAAGCCTTTGTGCACTGGTTTTTGAAAGTATATATAGAACCAATAATATCTGAAATGAACACTGGGATATGGTCCTATCTTGTCTTTGGCCATAATGGAGAGTCGTTATCTTGACATTCCTCTTTCCTCCTTGCTCTCCCTATTCCCTCTATCCTATGTCCTTTTTCCTCCCAATTAATGTAACAGTCTCATTTTATTTTGTTGTATTATCTTATGTACCACTATAGCAGTTCAATCAGGAGCTATGGTAGCCACATTAATCTATGCCTAAATTATTCAAAGAATACAATTTTGTACCATAAACTAACTACAGAAATGTTGCTGAGGTCCTATAGTAAATCAATGTTGTGCTATTGAATTTGTATCCTTTGATAATAATTGGTCCAAAAATGTAGATACTTTTAAGAGTCAAATTAAGAACTACATTCTATAAGTATATTGTTATCACTTCTTAAAGAGACAGAGCATAACATTAGTAACATTAAATATTTTGTTTATGATCAGACACTTAGTAAATTACTATACTTGTGGTTGAGACCAAGTGCTACAGCTGGTGATGGGTAGGAACAGCTCACCTCTTCCTGACTTCAGGGCCATCTCTCTCATCTGCCACAGTTGGTGAGGAGCAGGAGTGGAAGGCATCCTTTCCCTGCCTACACCATCGTATGGCAGATGAGGGGTGGGATCAGATCTCCCATGCTCATGTTCTTGGGGTGGTTCCTCCATTCTCCTGTCAGTAGGGTCAGCTCTGCTGAGCTGCCTAGGTAAGGGTCAGTGCCCATTTCCCCAAGTTCTGCAGTTGGTAAAGAAGCAGGTAAGCTCCCTTTCTCACAACAAATTTCATGATCAAGAGGCCGAGGGCATCTTTCACTTGCTCTACTGTACTGCGCAGGTGAGGAGCAGGGTCCACTTTCCTAAATGCTGCAATTGGTAATAGGGGGGTCAGCTCCTTAATCGCAGATGGCAAGGGGCAAGGGGTACTAATTATATAGAAGGCATCCATCACTCAGGGAATTGCTTCACCTTGCCAGTTCTTCTGCAGAAGGAAGGTTTCATGTTTAAGTCAGGTTAAAAAGAAAAGTATACAATACAATAAAAATCAACTCAAATAGTAATTAAAACATCACATTTTCCTTATTAGTCTCAGAAATAAAGTCGTTGCTCTGTGTTCTTTTCACTTAAGTTTTTCTAGATTCACACATGATCATAAATCCAGAACATGACTCTTCTTCCTTTGCAGCATTCATGGTATAACCTTTGTCAATCATGTGTCCGCTGCAGAAACAGACTTACAGTTTTCTTGAGTCTGAGTGTAACTCTAGCATCCTCTACTGAAGGTATATCCAGGTTACAATCAAGATATCCAGTGAGCCACTTTCCTTTCTGGTCTCCTAGGAAGCTTCTAAAGTCATTGGAATGCTGTCGCTATCACAGCCCTTCCTTACAATTGCAAAACTGCAAAAGTCCTGTGGCCAGTAGATGTCTATTCTCACTTCTTGGAGGAACCATGTAGTTTTATATGCCACATGATATTGCCACATGCCTTTCATAACTTGCAAAGCTATCCTTAAAGATTTTTTTATAAAGTCTTGCCTATGCATCCTCATTTGACATTTGGTTATTTTTTAATTTTTTATTTATTTTGCTCTCATGTAATTTATTTTGACCACAGCTTCTTCTCCCTCTGTATCTCCTACCCTCTTCCCCCATCCCCCTCTCCCTCAGATCCACCCCTTCCCTCTGCCCTGCCTGTCCCCAGAGAAGAGCTGACCTCACAGGAGCATCAATTGAGTAAGGCACAGCAAGATACAGTAAGAACAGGCACAAAGTCATATGTCAAGGCTAGATGAGGTGATCCAATAGGAGGGACAGGGTCCTGAGTGTAGGCAAATAAGTCAGAGACACCCCACTCCAACTGTCAGGAATTCACCCAAAACACTAAGCCAACAACTACCACATGTATACAGAAGACCTAGTGTAGACCCATGTAGGCAATACCTATCAAAATTCTAACAAAATTGAAAGGACAGTACTCAGCTTTATTTGGTAAAACAACAAAACATCAAAAAACAGGACAGCCAAAACAATCCTGAAGAATAATAGAACTACCAGAGGTGTCATTATCCCTGATTTCAAGCTGTACTACAAAACCATAATAATAAATACCCAATGGCACCGGCATAAAAACAGACAAGTTGATCAATACAACCGAATCAAAGACCATCACATAAATTTATACATCATGGACATGAGATTTTTTATTAAAGAAGCTAGAAATAGACCATGAAAAAGAAAGCATTTTCAACAAATGGTGGTGATCTAACTATATCTCTTCCTGTATGAGAATGTAAATAGATCCATATTTTTCACCCTGTACCATACTCAAATCCAAGAGGATCAAGCACTTCAACATAAATGAAGATACACTTAAATTGATGGAAGAGAAAGTGGGGAGTAGCCTTGAATGCTTTGGCAGAGAAAAATACTACTGTACTAAAATGAACAATTAATAAATAAATGGGATCTTAGGAAACTGAGAAGCTTTTGTAAGGCAAAGGACATAGTCCATCAGAAATTTGTTTATTTCTAAATCAACCAATTTGCACTTAGCTGTGCTTTGAAAATTACTTTGCAGCCAGGTGGTGGTGGCGTGCACCTTTAATCCCAGCACGCGGGAAGATCTCCGTGAGTTTGAGACCAGCTTGGTCTACAAAAGATAGTTCCAGGACAGCCTCCAAAACCCACAGATTATCCCTGTCTCAAAAAAAACCCCTTTGCTATGGCCATTTATTATTGTTTAGAAGCAAAACGATTCCACCTATGTAGAAGAGGACATAATACATATCTACTGGATTTTGCAATTTTACTACAGTGTGTAAAATCATTATGCTGATTGGATATTTTAATTCATTACATTTTTTCAACTGAAAAATAGAATTTCAGATTTCTCAATTACAAAATGGTACCATTATTCTGAAAACCGAGTAAATTGAGTTTATACTGTATAACTTCACTCTACACTATACTGAATGAAAGTGTCAGTGATATAGGCCCTAATACAAGCATCTACTTACTCTCAAGAAATTTTTGCTACCTGTCTACTATCATGTAAAGCACATTTAGTTTGCATTCTATTAACAAAAATATTTATTTCTTCTGATGTATTATAATAAGTAAGTACATATATTATAAAATATTTTATGAAAATTCCAGTTCTATTGCTCTATTTCAATCAATGTGTTCTTTCTGAATATTTTATAAAAATTATAATGATCAGGAATGGTGATACCTCTGGAACTTCTTTTGTTGTACAGGATTGTTTTTTTACTATGCTGGGATTTTTGTTTTTAATGTGAAGTTGAGTATTATTCTTCCAAGGTCTCAAATGGTGGAGAAACACCTAAGGAAATGTTCATTATCCTTAGCTATAAGGGAAATTCAAATCAAAATGACTCTGATTCCATATTAAACCTGCAAGAATGGCTAAGAGCAAAACCAAAAATGACAGCGCTTGCTAAAGATGATAGGAAGCAAGGGGAAGACTCCTCCACTCCTGGCAGGACTGCAAACTTGTAAAGCCACTTTGGAAATCAATATGGAGGTTTCTCAGGAATCTGGGAACTAATCTACCTAACAAGACTCAGCTATACCACTCTTGGGAACACACCCAAAGGATGCTCAAACATACCATAAGCACACTTGCTCAACTCTATTTATAGAAGTTTTATTTGTAATAGCCAGAAACTGGAAAGAACCTAAGATGTTCCTCAACTAAAGAAAGGATAAAGAAATAGTGGTACATTTACACAATGGAGTATTGCTCAGCTGTAAAAAAACAGTGTCATCATGAAATTTTCAGGCAAATGAATGGAACCAGAAAAATATTCCTGAGGTAACACAGACCCAGAAAGACAAGCAGGGTATGTACTCAGTCATAAGTAGATATTGCTTGTAAAATAAAGGATAACTATGCTACAAGCCAAAGACCTATTGAGATTAGATAACAAGGAGGATTCAAGAGCATACCAGGATCACCCTAGGTTAAATAAAAGAGTTTTCATGAGTGGACTTCTGGGTGGGTGGGTCTGAGTACATCAGTGATCAGGTTGGGGGTACTCAAAGAGACTAATGGAAGCTGAGGTCATTTTAGGGTCAACTAGAAACAGGGTACAAGGGTAACTCCAAGTAATCCACAAGTATGTCCCCAGCTAAGACTCTTAGAATTGGTAGATCTGTAGCCTGAACTGGCCTTCTGCTATGACCAGGTAGGAATGTTAGTGCAAGGATTGTAACGTCCACCAAGATACAAAACCTTTGTCTTACAGTCTTTCCTGCCTCTGGGATATACTGGGCAAAGGTGATCTACAAATTGAGGGAGTGACCAACAAATGACTTGTCTAGCCTAAAACGCATGCCAGGAAAATAAACGTACCCTTGACATGGCCTGAACTACTGGATCACACAGGCTATAGTGACCAGAATCCTAAGACAAAACCAAATATGACTGGAGGAAAAAAATTGTCAATGTAATGATGCCTAATGTCATTCTACTATACTCATAGATTGGTGCCTACTCCAATTGTTACCAGAGTGGTTTCATCCAGCAACTACTGAGAATAGATGGAGACCCAAGACAACATTAGAAGGAGCTCCAGGAATCCTACATAAGAGCAAGAGAAAGGATTGGTAAGAGCCAAGATGTCAGAAAACAGATACAAACTCATAGAATCAACTAACTCATAAGAGCTCACAGGGACTGAACCAGAAACCAGTGAGCCAGCATGGGACTGTCCTAGGCACTTTGCATATATATGTGACAGTTCTGTAGATTGGTTCTCTTGTGGGAGCAGGGACTGTCTCTGTCTCTGACTATTTTGCTGGATTTTGTGAGCCCACTCCTCATACTGGATTACTTTGCCCTCACTTGATACATGGGGAAGTGCTTAGTCTTTTTTTTTCTTTTCTTTTCTTTTTATTTATTTATTTTTCAGTCAGTTCCAGGGCCCTCTCCCTTTCCCTTCCCTCCTACCGTGGCCTCCCCCCAACCCCCCCTCATTTCCCCAGGGAGGGTGAGGCCCTCCATGGGGGTGTCCATAGTCTGTCATTTCATATAGGGCAGGGCCTAGACAGACCCTTCCCCAAGAGTTCAGGGTGAGAGTGCACCTCACATTGTTCTATGGGAGTCCAAAGTCCGTGTGTATACTCGGGATGGGTACTGATCTGCTGCCCAAGGCTCAATAGATTACCTAGGCCTCCTCACTGACACTCATATTCAGGGGGTCTTGATCAGTCCCATGCTGGATTCCCAGGCTGATGCCTGGGATTCAAGAGTTAACCTTTGTCAAGTCAGCTGTTTCTGTGGGTTAAACCAGCCCAGTCTTAATCCCTTTGGTCATCAGTCCTCCCTCTCTGTTACTGGCTTTCTTGAGTTCAGCTCAGTACTTAACCGAGGGAGTCTGCCTCTTCTTCGATCAGCCACTAAATGAAGTCTGTTTCCCAGACTCTCTGGCCATGGGATTATAGGCTGGGAAGTGCTTAGTCTTACTATAACTTGTTATGCCATGTTCTGTTGATATGCATGGGAAATCTGCCTTTCCTGAACAGAAATGGAGGGCTACTAGACTAGGGTGGTACAGACAAGGATGAGATGAATGGGGAGGGACTAGGAGGAGAAGATAAAGGAGAAACTATGGCTAGGATGTAAAATTAAGCAATTAATTTCAAAAATATAATAATTACAATTTCAAACAAGCAAATTAATTTTGTAATAATTATCATGTCCCCAAAATTTATACTTTTGTTAATTTAATGTTTTTCTCAACTTCTTGTCCTAAATCTGCTACAACCTTAGTCAAATTAACAATGTGACAAACAAATTAAAGCTCCTAATGAGAATAAATAGCATTCTTACTATTTCATTGATAAACTGATAGCACATTTTGATAATTTTAGTTACCTAAAGCTTCCCATAAATATTTTTACCAAAATATTCATAGAATTCTA